TATATATAAATATTATATATATATATAAATATTATATATAGATAAATATTATATAATATATATATATATATATTAAATGATAAATTTGAAATTGAATAAAATAAATATATATATATATTATATATATATTTGTTATAACTCTAATATATATATAAATTTTAAAACATATGGAAACTGAATATAAATATCATTCAGGACCAACAATTCTCGACTCTAATCTCGTACTTTCGTGAGTAAATCAAATGTTAACGTCTTCAGAGAGTACTTGTTCAATTTTAACGAAGAATTTTTTCACAAAAAAGGATTATCATCTTTGTGCCTTTTAAAAAAGTTCAGGCGCGGCAGCAGCGCCAGGAGACGACGCGCGGTTAAATTATTTTTAGTTACCCGACTGTCCGTTGTATCGCGTTCACCAAACTCGTAATCCCATTATGCCGCCAGAAGGCAGAAAAAGCGTCTTCTGAAAGTCTTTTCATCGCGCGACCGCGAAAGAACAGCCGGGGCAGGAGACACAACGGGGAAGAAAAAAATTGAAGCCAGGCTGGGGCTGGAAATTTTCTCAACAGAAGCAGCATTCATTATTTCCGAGAATCAAAAGAGCTGACCGCCCTTCTCTCTTTCTCGCGGGGCCGTGCCCAGCACTCTGCCCCGTTTTGTCGAGAATTCGATACCCAATAACGTTGACCAATCCCAGAGCCTTGAGTGGCCAGCAAGAGGGACAGAGACGGCAAGGGCGACAGACTCGAAGAGTAGCAAGAAGAATTTAAGAAAACGAAAAAAATGAGGTGACCAAAAAAAAAGGAGGGGGAGGGGGGAGTGCGCGGACGAGATGCGGTAGAATGTTTAAGAAGCCACTCTAAATTGTACGTCATAACACACTGCCAGTGCCGGTTTTAGGAAACCCCCATTTTCCATCAAGTATATTTATAATAAATGATATTTTGTACCATGGCCACCATTGCATGTACAAAAACTTCATGTAACGTATGAAGGGTATCTCATTTTCTGAAGAAATGAGACTTTCGTTTACTGATTTGAATTGTTAAATAAATATGATAATCTTTACCTTCATTTTTATCCCGAGTGTTTATTTATCCTGGAGAAATTAATAACAAGTATCGTTCTTTGACATTGTTAAACAAATATGACACTCTTTACCTTAACTTTTATCCTGATTATTTATTCGCTGCATGAGAGTGCGAAGTAGTATAAAATATGTTAAAAAAATCACTATATAGTAATTTCTTTATTCGACGGTCTCTTCGTGTTCAAAATTCGTAAATAAATCCGTTTTCCCTTGTAAGGATATCGAGAGATTAAATGTTCTGGAAACTTTCCGATCTTATCGCAGTACATATGTTGTTCCAAACGCTATACCACCACCACCATCTTCATCCTCCACGCATCATCGATAGCAACGAACATATTTTATGCGGTTAAGTCGAATGAAACGCCGCGAGTATACCGAAGCAGTTAGTTGAAAAAGAGATGGCAATAAAGAGAAAGAGAAAAATATGAGTTGATTTAGGTATTATAGTGGTGCTAGCTCGAGGAGAGACGGAAAAATCCGACATGATGAGGGAATGCAATTTCTCAAGTCAAGTGCTCTTTCCAGCTTTCCTTGTCTACGTGACTTGCTTAAATCCTTCGTTGACGATGATACACGTGCTCGAGGCACGGGCGTAGGCAATCTCAAATGTTACTAAAACAACAAGAATACAGAACAGATTCCTTTCCTTATTCCCTTCCTTGTTAACGCTACAAAGCAACTTCCCTTCGTTTCTCAATTCATACAAAGTATCTAGCCTCCGTTCGAACCGATTACCAATACAAATATTTAAAATCGAGAGTTTAACTTACAATTAGACAAATAGATGAGAAATCAAATTTTAACGTTCCAGCTCGATTCTAATTTAACCCTCTATAGGCCGCTATAAAAACATTTATGCAACGTAAAATTTATGCAAATTACTTTGACATTTCAGAATAGATAACTGTTGTCGAGAATGCTACTGGTTAATATGGAGACATTGTACAACAGACGTACACGCCATCTCGTGGAAAGAAATTCAATTATTGAATAAAATATCGATAATTAGTATGTGACTTGAAAGTTACACGGTTACACCCATAGAGGGTTAAAACTTCCAACAGCAGTAGTGATGATCTAACTCGACAATTTAAAATCAAACTCGTCACTACTAGTAGCACCAGTTCGAGTACCGAACGGAGCTTAAGAGAGCCAGCGGTACAACACGTGCTGACGGTGGTAGTACCATGGCGGTAATGGTAATAGTAGTAGTGGCGATGGTGGTGGTGTGGTCTCAGACGGGCGCGGTCCGTCACGGTGGTCGATGAGAGAACGAAGGGTTGCTTGGCAACCCTCACACCCCCGTCCGTTCTGTGCGCCACCGGCAGGCAGCAGCAGCAGCAGCAGCAACATCCCCCGTAGATTTCGTCGTCTCAACTTCCAACGGTGCTACACGACGCGTACAGACGATTGGGCGAGGCAGGGTGGAGAGCAGAGTGAAAGGAGAGAGGGAGGGGAAGAGCAGAGTAGACTAGAAGAGGGAGGCCCGGTGAGGGAAGAGGGGGGAGGAAGAGCCGCGCGGGGACGATGTAGTTAGCTTCGAATGTAACCTGTTGAGCCGTATTGATCCCGACGTAGTCGGCTGGCTCTCCCGCCTTCTCCTTCGACGACATTGAGAGAGAAAGCGTTGTTGCACGGATGTGACTCGAGCCGACTTCGCAAAAGGGGCAGTAACCTTGCATCGTGTCGCGCGGTCTCTTTCCCTTCTCCCCTCCGCCATCTCTCTCGTTCGGGTCGTAATTGTTGCACGATCCTGTATCATCCTTTCGCTTTTCCGAAACGCGATTTTCTCTCTCGCCATGTACGTAACGCGACGAGAGATGTGAAGGATTTTACCTTCTTTTTTTCATACTTTCGCTCAACGATTGCATAATACGATATATTTCTTCATACTTACTTTTTCTTCTATTGTATGTTTCCATGGATATAAAATTCCATGTCTCTCGAAATATTTTCCACATTGGATAATTGCGGCGTTTTCTATCGGAAGATATCAGAAGGGGGGGACTTACCACACCACCGCCGGCGCTGTGAAGCAACAGACTCTTGCCAGGCGTTAAATTGGCCAGTTCGAACAGCAAAATGTAAGCGACGGTGTAGTTCATCGTGATCGCCGCTGCATCGAGGTAGCTCATCCCGGCTGGTAGCGCGAAAACGGACGTGGCCGGCACGGAGACGAGCTCTGCCCACGCCTTGTGATCAGGAAGCGCGACCACTCGATCGCCCACCTGAAAATAAGTAGTCAAATGTATCCTGCAACATTAGCTTTATTACCATCGCCACGCGTTTCTTCTGTAAAATTTATTTTGTATATACCGTGTCTTTGTGAACTTTTACAAATTTTACATCAATCCCGCTGGGCCTTTCAATCTTTCATGTACTCGATCTCGCTTTTATTGCAATCATTCCTTTATAATTTTCACAAATTTAAGAAATTTAAAAAAAAAGAATACAATTTGGTTGGAAATGACACGGTAGAATTTATTGAAAAGTTCCTGACGAATAATATTCAATTTAGATCGCGCAACAATCCGGCGACTGTATCCGAAAGTTAATTCAACTTGATAAAACTTTCAGACTCGAAAAATTGTTCTTCGCCCCTCTTTCGCAACAGAATGAAATAGAAATTGACTTTCGTATCCTCGGATTTAAAAGATATCGGCCCCTAGTTTCCTCGATTTACAATTTCCATCCTATTCAAATACATTCAATGTACTTTCCCAAATCTTTTTCTTTTCTTTTTAATCTATTGCGATTCAAAGAAATATTAAATATCCTGCTTAAATTAAAATTATACTCTTTAATTATTCAATCAATAAATTTATGAACAAAATGGAGATCGTTAGGACTTTTCATAATAAATGCAATGAATAAATATTTTAATATTTCTAGCCAACTGTAATATTCCTTTTGCATCTCGATAATTCCCTCGATAAAAAAAAAAAAATCGATTGACCATCCTCAAATGAGAACCTCTGTGACGAGGTAGATTATCCCATAAAGGAGTAAATGAATAAAACAGAGAGAGAGGAGATCGCCACATATAAACGCAACAATGCCAAGAACTCGAGGAAACGAGCCAGAAGGGAAGGAAAGGTCTGGGTTAGGGGGCGCTACGAGCTCGAATATTCCATCTCGAAAAGCTTTCCACTTCCACGCGCCACGCACATATGCTTTATACACGGTGTTCCAGAAATAGTTGGCCGAATTCTATTCTCTCAGAGTGAAAAATAATAATCGTGAGTCCGGAAACTCTTCCTTTTTGATTTGCAAAAACTTTCTTTGTTCACCTTATTTTATATAAACAACCTAGATAATCTAAATTTGGGACCATCTTACTCATTGTCTATACAAATTATTTGAAAAACAGACTATTTCCAAAAAAGCTCAAGTTTTACTTGAAAGATAAAAAACAAATACAATGTTTCAATATATCTTGGAAAAAATTGTCGGACAGTTTGGCTACGTTATATTTCTGAATCAGCCTGTATACGTCATGCACACTTCGGCCGTTTGCACGTGCTGCTCGGATATCTGACTCTAGAGCCTTAAACCTGGCATCTTCTCCTCGTTTCTCCCCCCCCTGCCATCCTCTTCGTGACCTCGAGGAGTTTCGCGAGTCGCGAAAATAGACCACCCCAAAACGTGTGAGAGAGAAAGAGGTAGAAAGAAGGTGGGAGGGACGATGGAAGAGAAAGAAGCGTTTTCCTGCGGCGTCTACTTAGTCATGGACTCGGGGAAAGCACCATGGAACTCCGCCCTTGCGGAAAGATTAGTGGGTGAAAAATTCAAGGACAACGGCTGAACGCGGAACGACTATTTCGAGAACGAATTTCCCTTCGGGCGGGAGGGACCGTTTCGCCGCGGGACGCTTTCTGTCTGCGTGAGTGGAACGATTGCTTTTTCTTGTTTGATGATGAAAACACGGGATGAACGTTCTTTGTTGGAGACCTTTTTCCTTTGACGACTTTTTCCCTGTGCTTTCCTCGGTGTTTAAGAGAGAGCATGATCATGATTCACAGAGAATTGGAACGTACACTGAAATACAGGCAACGTATGTTTTAAAGAATTAAAAATCCGCGTTTATCTGATCGAAACGTTTGCTAATTTATACCGTGTCATGTGTCTAAAATCGAGATTCCCTATAAGCGTCAGCATGTTTCTACGTGATGATTTTCAAATGTTGCGTTCGAGTCGAGTGCGCGCATGCGCATTGCACGTCTGACATACGTGAGTCTAATGCGCATGCGCCGCCTGTCGTTCATACGAAATTGACGTCTCTTAATTCAGGGAGAATTCCCACCGAATCTATGTGGACGATTTTTAGGTTAGAATTTCCACATTAAAAATTACACGGATTCATTACGAATATATAAATAGAGATCTCTTCTAATTAAAGTAATAAAACCTTTAAAATTTCCATTACGTGTATAAGAATGAAGCATAACAGAGTAGGTATATTTTCTTATATTTTAAGTGACAACTACTTCCATAAACAAATTCTATCCATAAGTAAATTTCTTTTCATCTTGTTGAACCACTCCACAACTGATCTTGAAGCGGTAACATTTTATGGTTAACTATCACATGGCGTGGAACAGAAAACGAAAGAAAGGCACGACCGCCGGTTTTTCTTCGGTAAATGCAATATATTTTCCGCGACAGGAAAGTCGGTGCCACTGAAAAATATTAGACGCCATTTCTGCCCGGAGGCGACCGATCGAAAAATCGATAGGAATCAGGCCGCGTCAAAGGAATAACTATCGAGACTCGAGGATATTACGATATACAAAGAAAAAAAAAAAAAAAGAGAAAGTATACGCCTCTTTTTTTTTCCTTTAAAGTTCATTTGCATTTATTATCATATCGAGAGATCCTTGGTCGTTTCCTTTCGTACATATTTTAAAAGGACTGTTGGCAAATTATACATAAATAAAAATGCAACACAGATAAGTGTATTTTTTAATGTACTACTACTTTTTAATGTATCTACTATTCTAAAATCAATTTTCTCAAACTTCTGTTTTTAATTTAAGACGTTTATAAATTTTACTTAGTACTACAAGTTAAGTTAACTTTAATTAATAACAAATTCTTTATAAAAAAAAAAATGAAATATACCATTAAACAGCAAGATAGATAAACAGTGCGTTAAAACGAAATCCAAATTAAATTAAAAATAACTAATTTCAAAGGTTCTTTGCCGATGAAACAAGCAACGCAAGCTCAATGCAAAGTTTCCTGGGGGCAATGGCTCCATGGTTCACTTACTTTAAAGTTCTCTACGCCCTCGCCAACTTGCTCGATGTCACCTGCGCACTCGGATCCCATAATGAAAGGAGTTTTTGGTGGGGAATCGATAGCACCCTGTCTCGCCATCAGATCTTGGAAATTTAGTCCGCTGAAAAGACACACGAATGCTTTTTAGAGAGAGAGAGAGAGAGAGAGAGAAAAAAAAAGAAACTGGTACACACAGTGTTAAAGGTAAAATTTGAGGATTATAAAATTAACATGATGACTGGATTGATTTCGTAAAATACTTTATGAATTTATACTTATGAATTTTATAGAGGGAAAGATAAATATCTCCAACAGAAGAGGAGTGCTGTCATATAATATTACTTATGCGGTTCTTTTCTATTTTTCTAATTATCCGTGAATACTTAAAATTAAAGATTTAAATTGTATCAGGAATTTTCCTCAGGAGTCTGAATCCTGAAAGATCCTTGAAATCATATTATATACGCTTAATAACGCATGCTGAACTTGCATCATAGTGAACGCACAGTATGTATTTAATTATTTAATTTAATTATACGTGACTGTGGCAATTACCATCTTACAATTCTAAGTTTTCCTCCTGAACCTAAAACCACCACTTCAACTTTTGTCAATTGTGCATTGGACGAAGCAAAAAGGAGGACGCAGGAACAAAAAAAGTTGGGAATACCGGATCGTCGAAGGGAAGCTTATCGCATTATATAGTAACGAGTGTTCTAGACACGCGTGCTTTTCATAAATGTAACAACGTTGCAAGGCAATCGATGCAGATAAAATATTCGTGGGCAGTGTTCGCGCGCCGTTTTTCCAAGAAGCAACACGAACAAACGGCGTCGGCACTGATAAAGCGTGTATCGGCGTTAGTTTCACGGTCCCCAACGAAAAGAGGCAGCGAGTTGTGCGTTGCGTGCGACGCCAGGCGTCGACCTAGGCGTCGTGGCGCCTCGACTTACCCTCCCCATCTGTCAGTCGCCGCTGCTAGGGTTGGCAAAAGCTCGAACCGCACACGTGTATTTATACGGAGGGAAAACGGGAGGTATAAGTCGCCGTGGGACTGCACACGCATCCGAAATGTTCTATTTCAGCCCCCTTCTACTACCGCCTTAAGCTCTCCCTCCTTAAGCTCTGTATTTATATCAGTCACGTTATATTCTGTACTTCGAGTAGCACGGAGTATAGTAACCTCGCGATATTTTAACTTGGCTGAAATATCTTTTTGCAATTCGTATATACGGCTTTTGTTTTTATTGAGCTTCGTCCACGCGACAGAATTTATGCAACGTGAGTTTAACCCGCGTTGAGTTATGTGTTCAGGCGTGAGACTATTTCGTCTCCACCAAGCACCATCCATCCGTCGGAAGAACTGGGAAAAATCTGTTTCCCCTCGAACAGCCTCTATTTTTATCCTTTACGAGCATACACGTAGAAAAAGAAACGATCGATTCCGTTGCTATGATGATGCTGGATCCTTCCATTTGTGTCATGAGAATACATTTCAACGATAGGGAAAGATATCTTTTATTTCCTTGTATGCGTTTCATCACTTCCGGTAATAATTCTCTAAAGAACAGCGTCTCTCGTACAAGTGACTTTATACTAAAAATGGAGATAAAATGGACAAACTCGAATTGAGTTCATTGTGTGAATTGAGAGAATTTTAACGGAGAACCATTTCTTTTTTTTTTTTTGTATTTTTAATATCTGAAACACCTGCTACTATCTCCAGGTAGATTGACCCGACAGACGCAGCCTGTGCTCTTGTGGCCTCGCAAAAAAGCCAAAATTAGAAATGGCACTTGGCAACACAAAGAAAGAAAGATTGTAGAAGGTACATACAGAAAGAGAAGCGATGGGAAGTGACAGAGGCCTGTGCTGTATAGTTGTCTCGAGCGGAAATGGGATAATGTAATTGTCCCTCTTATCAGTGGGGGATTACTCAGTTCTCTACAAATACACTCCTCCGGCGATACAAGAATTTCAAGTATGCGAACGATACGCTTTTACGGCTCTCCTTTCGTACTACGTGTTTAATATCACGTTAATCCTCCGTGGCGAGCAAAGTACTGAAGCAAATCCTTGAAATTTTCTTCTCGTAAACTTCCCCCGTAATTGTTGTCAAAAAAGATTGATTTTGAAAGATGGATTTAATTGTTAGCATGACAAACAGTTCGGTAATTATTTGTACATTAGTTATGATTTCTCTTTTGACGCCATTGTTGCGGAAATGAAATTTCAGCGAGTTCTCTGTGTGAAATGTATCATGAAACTTTATCGATGACTCACGTGTGTGTCGCATAACTTCCTGGGAATGAACCAGTGTGATAAATCATTGTACTTGCACTGAAAAATATCAACGAGTGAATAGATAAAAATTGAGAGAATTGTTGTTATTGTCGAAGTAAAATTATTGTATTATTTTACTCACTATGTAACCTTCCCTATTATTATTATCTCTGTTTATATATCGAACGATCGTCAAAACCAACGAATCATAAATCGCAAATTACGATGGTAATAAACGCCCTTGAAATTGAACTATCATGTGCAACTACGTAGTGCGTAATATAATAAGCTTTTATAACTTGTCACGAATCGGCCGGTCGAATTACGAAACCGGACAATCGAGCAAATCGCATACCCACTACGATTATATTTCTGCATATAACTCAATCTGTTAGGGAACAGAGAAACGAATGAAGGAACTATACAAAACAATACGCGTATGACGAAACTGCGAGAGAAGTTGAAAAGTTGAAATTAATTGTCAAACGAAAAATGTGTAAAGCACGAGTGCGATCTTGTAATTATTTCGAACAGTTTGATCACACATTCGACGAGGATCGTGGCTCTTGAAATTTCGTTTGACACGTCGAGTCATTATCACTGGCAACCGGATAAAATTGCACGTGATTCAAAACCGATCGCGCGGCGTGAAACATTTTCATTCACCGAAAGACACTTAATCGGCCGATACGTTCGGCATGATTTATCGCTCGTTGTTTTCAATCACTCGGCGATTCAGGCTCGATGCACGCGATATACTTGGTATATACATTGGAAAGAATTTAAACGTTCACATATTTATTTATTTATTTATTTCAGCACGGAAGTACAGAAAACGCTAGAAAGCTGTACAACCGTGCAACGATTTGTTGCGAAGAGTTATGAAATTTCGCAACTTAACGATTTCCTATCTGCGTTTCGTAACGTGAGTCAATCACTCTCCCTCGTTTTTTGTGCAATCGCAACTTCTGGAGCGTAACGCGAATTTAACACGTCAGTCCCCACGGACCGACAGCCCGCGGATCGTTCGGCCGGCGTCGGTCCCTAGGGACCGACGCTCGCAACACTCGTTTGGCCGATGTTGGACACTATAGTGAACACTTTATCGAGTCTGAGAAACACACTTGATTTTTATTAATTGTAAAAGTAACACGCGAAAAAACTATAATTTATATAATACCATGAAAAATATACAGGTTGTGGTCTGTCTCGAACGTGTGAACGCGAAACGGAATTTAACCGAAGATGGAGTTCACTGCTAAATCGAGCGAGAATATCAGAACGAAACGAAATGCAGTTACGGGGGATGATAAGACGGGAGTAAGTTGCAGCGCGTTTCGGTTCAACAGGCATGTGCTCGATAAACTCGCGCGTACATGCGGGAATAAGTTAACAGATTAATTAATAGCAACAAGCTTTCAATGATAACGGCTGTGGCCGTTTAATAAAAGCTCGAGTTGTCAAGCAAACCGTCTGAAAAATGGATTCGAATACGCTCGTGAATGATAGAAAAATCGTGCACGAAATCCAGCAGAGGGCAAAAGGTCCCTGGAGTTACGGGACTGTAGGTACGGTTCGCGATCGCTTAATTCCTTTAAATTGCATGGAATTGAGGAGAATAATTTTCTCCATTCTTGGCACCGGCCAATTGCACGGCAGGAGTAGGGGGAGGGGGAGGAACGGCGACCATCGTGAGGACGAAGAAGACATGCAACAACGCACCACCCCAGGGTCACGCACACCATATGCGAGAATAAAAGAAGATAGTCGGAGAACAAGGGACTACGAAGAGGGGACGAAGAAGAAACAGAAAAGCGAAAGGGAGACACGACCGAGAAGGGGACGAAGAAATAAAAACCTGGAAGCAAAAAACGAAGACGGAGAAAAGAAAAAACAAAGAGAAAGTTGAAGAGGGAAGAAATGGCGCTCTCCGCGCACTTGGAAAAAAAGAAAAAATGAGAACCGATGTTAGCCTTTATCTCGTTGTTCGAATTCGAATTTGCTTTGTTCGAATTTCAACGGATCTCGAATTGAAGGACTGAGAAATGGGAAAAATATAAGACGATTCAAACAGTGGCGAGTTAAAGAATCGAGACGTTTCAATAATTAATTGACAAATTAACGTTGAAGGCACGATGGGAAAAGGGGACTACGCATGATACATCAATCGTTAATGTTGTGAATTTTTCAATCTCAGAACTCTGCAGTTCGGACTCGATGTCGAATTCTCTCCGCGCCGCAAACCAAAGCGTGAGAGAACGCGCTGAACCGAAAGGGAGAGCACGCATGTAAGTGTGCGTGATGGGACACCAGCGGACAAAAGAGAAGCGAAAATGCAGAAGAGACTAAACACGTAACGAGAAATGTAAGAAAATTAAATACGTGATGACTTGGTACATTTACCAAGAATAGTGAGAAGAGTATGTTAAAAAAAAAACAAATACGTGGAAGAAAAAAACGACTGGATATCGCTCAGACGAAGTAACCATTGTTGTCATTTCAATTGCTATTACGTGATAGATGGTAGTCGGATAGGTCTGTCTACTTGCAGAAGGAACGTGGTGGTCGTTCAATCGATCGACAGAGAAGACATCGAGGCGCCTGCAAAACTATAACCTCCATGCGAAAATCGCATGCACGAATCTCACGTGACTCGACCACATACACACACACGCGACCACATATATATGTATACACTTTCGAAGCAGCGTTGATTCAACACGCGGCGAAAGTGCAGTTCAGTTGTCTGGCGACGCGACGGTTCATTGGTGCTGCGACAATTCCTGCGTACGAGTTTAGGTTAGGTTAACATTCGTACGGTCCATGTAATAAATCCTTTTAAATCATGGAATTCGTGTTTTTTTTTTTTTTTT